GCCAGGCTATCAAACACTTATGCTAAAGCTTTCTTCAACAAAGATCCTCAGACTTCCTGGTTTGTTATTTAAGATCTGCAAAGCCAAATTCCTGTGGATAACTATCAACTGTCAAGGAAATGGGCTGATTTCGATGAGCGAAGAAAACGGAGCTGGTTACTTGCCTTTGCTAGCTGGCTGATACTGAGATAAGAGCTCCAGTATGCAGGAGGTAAGGGCTGCTGTGACAGGCAGCCAAGCATGGAAAACTGCCCAAGTGCTGTGTGACTCCTGGCCACAGTGTTGGCAACTATAAACAGCAACTCCTTTTGCTCAGTGATATCTCTGCCATCATTAGCAGCTTATGTGGGGATCTGTGCTGGCTCTTTCTTTGTTCCTCACATACATTAGGGATTCAAGAAGCGCAGTTTTGTATAAGCTCATCTATGCTGTTGTCATCATCAAACAAAAGACTCCCTTCACCATCAGCAGTGACCCTCACCTACAGTCTGTGGACAATGCTTTTGTTACTGGTAGCTCCACCTGAATGCCTCCAGAGCAATGGAAACACCTGTGCTATGAAGTCTTTCCCACTCACAACAAGGTCATGAGGGCCATTTGATCCTTATTGTCACAAGCAGAGTAACATAGAGAACCTGGGTTGGGAGAGACCTCTGGAGGTTTTTAGGCCAGCCCCCTACTCAAAGCATGGCTAACACCAAGGTTAGGACATGTCACTCAGGGTCTTGTCCAGCTGAAATTTTAATGTTGCCAAAGAGGGAGATTCCCCACCTGCTCTGACTGCCTGTTCCAGGGCCTATCTGCTCTCATGCCATACTTCGCTTGGTGCAGTGTGTGACCGTTGCCTTACATTCTCTCACTGTGCACCTCTGAGAAAAGACAGGCTCTGTGTAGTGGAAGACAGCAATTAGAATCATAGAATCATTTTGTTGGAAAAGACCTTCAAGCCCAGCTGTTAACCTAACACTGCCAAGTTACCACTAAACCATGTCCCTAACCACCACGTCTACACATCTTTTAAATAGCTCCAGGCATGGTGACTCTACCACTTCCCTGGGCAGCTTGTTCCAATGTCTGACAATCCTTTAGGAGAAGAAATTTTTCCTAATATCCAATCTAAACCTCCCCTTGCGCAACGTGAGGCCATTTTCTCTCTTCCTGTCACTTGTTGCTTGGGAGAAGAAACCAACCCCCACCTCGCCAAACCTCCATTTAGGGGGCTGTAGAGAGCGATAAGGTCTCCCTTCAGCCTCCTCTTCTCCAGGCTAAACAACCCCAGTTCCCTCAGCTTCTCCTCATAAGACTTGTGCTCTAGACCCCTCATCAGCGTCATTGTCCTTCTGTGGACACGCTTCAGCACTTCAGGGCTTGTCTTGTAGTCAGGGGCCCCAAACCAAACACATTATTTGAGGTGAGGACCCACCAGTGCTGAGTACAGAGGTACAATCACTTCCCTAGTCCTGCTGGCCACACTATTTCAGATACAAGCTAGGATGCTTTTGGCATTCATGGCCACCTGGGCACACTGATGTCTCATATTCAGCTGGCTGTCGACCAGCGCCCCCAGATCCTTTTTCATCACACAACTTTCCAGCCATTCTTCCTCAAGCCTGTAGTGCTGCATGGAGTTGTTGTGACCCAAGTGCAGGACATGGCACTTGGCCTTGTTAGATCTCCCTCAGCCTTTCTTCTTGGAGGGACATGGTTCTGGAGACATGTGGTGTGGTGCAGTGTATAAGTGTGTCATCCTGCTATCTGTCAAGAGAGCTGCAGCATCAGCCTGTCACCAAGCCTGATCACCCACCTCTTGAAACCAACTGCTCCTAGAGAAGCTTCTGCACACAGACAGGGACAATATAACCTATGGGATCCTCTCTAGACATTGTGCTGTCCTTAACTATCCCTGCACCTCAGCACGCCTCTTGGCATGCTTACTCAGGGCCACTGGCATGGCCTGCAGGCCCACATGCAACTGTGACCTTGCTATTACTCAGTGAATAGTGTCAGGCATGGATGAATCTATGTACTGTCTAAAGCCCTTCTTTCATTGAAAGCATTTCTTAAAGTTGGAAGCTTGCAATACGAGCAGCCCTAGTTCCTACAGATTCCTGGCATTTAAACACCCTCACAGTTGCACAGAAAACCAGACAATCACCTTCCTTCTTATGCAGCCTGCTCCTGACAGCCCTCCTTCTTTGGCATCATGGGACTCCCAGGAACTAGGCCCAGACTGTACTAATTCCCTTCTTGAGAGTATTCATGTCTCTGTAGCATGACAGCTAAGGGACTTGAGGAAAGGTAACAATTGGTAGCAAGCTGGAAGTGCTGCCAGGCAGACCCTGCAGCATGCTCTTAGGTAAGAGACAGCTGCTGCCTGGGGCACTGCTGGGACCCAGGGGCTGTACAGTGGCTGTTCAGTTGTGCCTGAACACAACTGGGATGGAGATCCTACAGCATCTGGCTAGCTGTGCCAGTTATCCTCTGGGAGTAGAAAAAAGACTGGTCAAGGAAAGCTTTAAATAATGCTGCTGTGACCAGAATTGCCAGTGGCTCAGGATTTTTACAGAATACAAAAAAGAGAAAATACAATCCAGGATACCCCTATCCAAGAAGAAACTGCAGAAGGGTAAGCAGCTCTGAGGAAGTGACAGGAAATTGTCAAAGAGCCTAGAAAACCTGGAACATCTTGGAAGGAACCAGTTAATGTGATGAAAGTGCTTTGGCCTGGGGCACTGGCAAGCCTGACTCTGTGGTAACAATCTGTTGGGATGCAGAGGGCTAAGCAAATTGCATTGTCTTCTTGGTCTAAATCAGTGCTTGTCATTCTTCTTTGTCCCCCAGATTCTCAGCCTTGTCCTTGATCAAAAGAACTTGGTGAGATGAACCTGCTAGGTAAGCATTTTCATTGGCTCAAAAGCTCAAAGGTACACAAGAGGGAAACAAAGCCTCAAGAAAGAAGCAACAGGTTCAACAGATCAGCAAATTGTCATTAACTGTAGCTCAGAGCTTGCTCTTTGAAGCTGGATGGGTGCAAAGCACTAAATAAGAATATCATGGATGTATTCAATTGAAAAAAATCACATGGGAGATCATACTCAAATAACATGTTTCTCTTCTTGCGTTCAAGTATCGAAACTAAAATGTGCTTTACCTCTCTAAACCAGCAAAGATGCATTGCAAACATAGTGTTATTATGGCCATTTTTGGGGGGAAGGTTAGGCCACAGAGTGAAAACCACTGGTGTGAAAGCTGAAGGGACAAAATCCCATCTCAATTTTAACTTCATTTTCCAAAGATCCATCACTAGGCGAGGAAGGTTCTGGTAGCTTTGTGCATCATGGAAGAACTGGTCATGATCTGCACTGTCTAACCGAAAATGAGAAGCCTGGGCTTCTCTAGCACTCAGACTCTAGACTCAGTTCTTTTGATTATTGTCTATCTTGCAAATTTTCACCCATATACTGTCATTGGATTTCCATTGGAGGTGTCCCAAATACAGGTATGAGTGCACCTCTTCTGCCACACAGCTGCTGTCAGGCCACTGCTCCTCATAAACATGACACGGACTGCACAAGTACGTGCCTTGAATTGGAGACATCTCAAAAGCTTTCTTTAACCTTGCTGCACGCGTTATGTCTGCCGAGTTAAGGTGGTGGGAACCTGAGCTTCCAGGTCAGGAGACAGTATGGTGAATGAGTCTCTTGCTCGTACCGGAGCCAGAGCAGCCAGAGCCCCACTCCGCAGTCGTGGCACTTGTCACCTGTGCAAAGGGCTCGCCACTTGAACAGCCACCTCACTGGGGTCGCCCAAGGGCAATGCTGTGGGGCTCCCAGGGCTTGGTTTGCATATGGCTCCCAAGGAAGACACTGCAGGCCCCCTCCGGCACACAGGTAATGTGCACAGCTGTGGAGGGTGACAAATTTTTCCCATTGCTCCAACGCAGGAGCATGGACAGGTGGGAGAGCCTTAGTTACAGAATCACTGAAGCCAGGGCCCACTATCAGCTCTTCAACAAAATGCTCCCTGACTCTGTGGCAGCTGAGCAGCCACACTCTATGCCCATGTTCCCCCAAAAAGTGATGTGCAGATGCAGCTTTTGTTAAAACACAGCATTTATTGAAATCTTTGCACCGAATAAAAGGAGTGGACTCCCAGAAGGAAGGGATTGTCTCAAAGAGGGAAGGCAGTCACTGTCCAGGTGAGCTCTGTCACAAGCTTCTCGCAATGGCCTCTTCAGCTGCATCGGCTCTGGCTCCCCAGAGTGTGCTTTTGCTGTGGAGGAAGGGTGCAGCAGTAATGCCCGCTGCCAATTGAGCAGCGTGTTCTCCGTGTCCAGCGGGCTCAGTTCCATGGCACCAGCTCCCCAGGGAGTGTCTAGGACGGGCAGATTCTCCACTTGGACCCCAGTGTGGTGCCTCTCACTTGGTCCCTGCCCAGCCAGAGCTGCTGGCAAGAATTTCTGGGCCCACGTGTAGTTGTCATCATGGCCGTGACAGTGTGAGGAGAAAGCAGGGTGAAACTCATCTTTGTCACCACCATCGTCATCAACGGCTGCTGCGCTGGGGAGACAATTGAGAGGACAACGCCGCCGCTTTTGGTAGAGGGCTGCTGTGCAGGGTATTCCCTTCCTCTTCCCTTCCCTCCCTGTTGGCCAAGAAGGCGAATGGCATCCTGGGCTGCATCAAGAAGAGTGTAGCCAGCAGGTCGAGGGAGGTCATCCTTCCCCTCTGTTCTGCCCTTGTGAGGCCACATCTGGAGTATTGTGTCCAGTTCTGGGCTCCCCAATTCACGAAGGACAAAGAACTACTGGAGAGGGTCCAGCAAAGGGCTACAAAGATGATTAGGGGATTAGAACATCTTTCCTATGAGGAAAGACTGAGGAACTTGAGTCTTTTTAGTCAAGAGAAAAGAAGACTGAGGGGGCATCTTATTAGTGCTTAAAAATACTTAAAGGGAGGGTGCCAGGGGGATGGGAACAGCTCTGTGCATGAAGACCTCTTTCAGTGTCCACACAACAGCAGTCTTACAAGCCGACTTTTCAACTCATTGAACTCATGCAGTGCCTTGGCGTGGGCCTCCGGATCATGTACCAGGTGCTGGAAGATGTTGTGAGGTTCAGCCATTTGTAAGGCTGGGGGCAAGATTATCTCCTCAGGCATGTTCTCATTGCCAAAGAAGAAGTGGTTGAGGCGTTTCTCCTCCAGGCAGGCACACAGGTACTCCATGATATCCTGCAGCCGCATCATGACTTCCCTTCTGTTCCAGCCCCCCAGGGGTAGGGTGTTCAGGAGGTGCATCACAACTGTCTTCAGGGTATAGGTGGAAATGTCTATGCCCACCAAGATGTGGGCACAGACCTGCAGGCATTTGAGGTGGAAGGTGTCACGTGGGGCCTGCTGGGCCACATGCTGGAAGAACTTCACCTCTGCCACAGCATAGCTCTCTGGCCACATGGTGCTTGGGGTGAAGATGGCCTCTGTACTCTGGCTGGTCACAAAGATGTCCGAGTCGCCTTGCTGCACCCCAGACAAAATCTCAATGATGATTCTTTTCTGGTCGGGTCTTGTCAGCTGGAATTTGCAGGAGCGGCTGCAAGGCAGCATCTTTAGACGGAAACTGGATGCCTGAGGCAAAAGCACCCAGGCTGATCTCACCAATAGATGGAACCAGCGGGCAGTTTTCTGTGCATCTAGGTAGAAGCCTGTGCAGAGGGTGTCTAGGAGACTGTGTTTCTCATTCCTCCTCTGCTCTTCCTCAGGGTGGTGGAGGAAGCACGGCACGTCCCCCACCAGACGCTCCCTCATGCAGGTGCACTTCTGCTCCACGCGGATGCGGAAGTTCCTTGCCATTGTCTCCCCAGCATCCCACAGCTCCAGGTGGAAGGTGTGCGAACGGGGAGGCTTCATGGGCACGAGCACATGGTAGATGACATCTTCTTCACAGGGACTCCAGCCTTCAAATGCACTGCCCAACCCAATGGCTGATTGCAGCTCTGGGAATAAACTATTTAACAAGAGCGATCTGAAGACAAGCATGAAGTTGTCCACCAGGTCCTTCACAGTCACGCACTCACTGACCCGGTTCTGAACTGGCCAATGGATGTACATCTCAGAAAACAATAGGTGGTCTTCAAATTCTCCGCCCTCGTCCTGCACCTGCTCACTGTCGCTGCTGGAGCTCTCCTCTTCACTGCTGCTGTCTGGCTGCTGGCTCCTTTTCCTCAGCCACCAGCAGAGTCCAAAGAGCACGACCACAACTCCAGCAATGGCCCAGAACTGCCACTGCTGCAAGGCAGAGAAGAGCAGGGCTCCCCGGGCAAAGCTTCTCTGCTGCTGGGTCTTCCGCTCCATCTCCCGCAGCAGCCGAGTCATCTGTCGGCTCAGCT